CAAAAAAAAAACAAACCATTTAGCAACAAATAATACATACAATTGGCAGGAGATGGATGTGAGTAATGGCACTTTGGATTTGCACACTCAGTTCCATATTTACAAGGCACATCCAATATAGGTGATGGTACCGTACCAGTCCCAACAGCTGCAGGACTAGAATGTGCATACATACAATTAGGATTCGCACAATGTTCACCATATTTGCATAAAACTGCAAGAGCTTGGGAACTTTGCGGTAATGGTGTAACGTCCGCATCCTGAGAAGACGTCCCTGTAGAAATATTTCTAGAAGTAGTAGTGATTGAAGCGATCGTATTAACTGTTGTGATAGAAGTTGTCGAATTTACGGATCCAGCACCAGATTTAGGTTTCTGTTCTATATCACGCTGACCTTGGATATTTAACCCTTGTACAGATCCAACTTTATTAGGAACACCTTGTTTAAGAGAATTTTTACCATATAAACTAGTTCCAAATGAACTTTGTTGAATGTTATTCTGACTGAATGAATTAGGTCCGAATACATTCTGTCCCATTCCGCTAAATCCTCCCACGCTCTGTCCAACTACGAAATGATTCATTGGATCTTGTCCGATTGGGCCAAATCCGAGAGAACTTGGATCAACCGAACGATTTCCAAAGGCTATTTGCCCACCTGTGCCATTGCCAAATGAATTTTGTCTATACAAGCCACCTTGTTCATATGTGTTGAAGTCTTGATTTGCAGGATGAATGTACAAGCAAGTTCGTGGTGAATTTGGGCAATTAGGAACCATACTAATGAAAGATAATAGGTTTTAGTGTTATTAGAGTAATTTAATCAAATTTTTTTACCCAAAATTAACAAAAACTTACGGACAAATTTCTGTTGGATGATGAAATTTACATTGAACACCAAGATCACAATTAGGCCAATGACGACAGCGAGAAATTTTAGATGTTAGTGTGGTATTGCTATTGGGTTGTGCAGGTATAGGGGTGGCGTTTGAATTTTGAATAAATGCAGGATTGATGTAAGCAGTCATCAAACCCCCCTTTTTCCCTAATCGATCTAAAACACTCCTCGGTTGTTGAACCTGCCGTGCACTTTGTTGTGAAAGGCGTCGTTCATTAACTGTTAATAATAAGTATTCATTATAAAACTGTTCAATTAAAAATCTACAGCGTAGTTAAATAATAAACCATTCCATACCATATCTACTATGATCGTGTTCTTCTTGCAAAACATTATATAACCCTTGATCACCCGATTGTCGTTCAAGTTTTATACGAGATATTGTATCATGAGAATGATCTGTCTCGTACACACGGTATTTGTCTATACTCGATTCACTCTCAACTTTTCGAGCTTTGGTTTTTAGATCGTCATTAGACTGATCTTTGCTCGGGCTGTAAGAACGTTTAGTTGTCCTATCTATGCCATTTTCCTCTGAACAATTACAGAACCAAAATATAAATACGTTAGAACCATTATGTAATTTTATCTAATGACGTAAAGCAAAAAGAAATGTAACAAACCATGCTTATCTCCTGCCGTCCTTGAACTTCTACTTGCATCCTTTACCGCATTCATGAATAAACGTGAAGAAGCGGATGCGTTGCTACTACTCGTTCTCCTATAAAATATTAAAATTAATAAAATCGGACTAGATCGTGAATACTAGCGCGCTAATAAAACAAACCTTTGTGAAGACCGTCCATTTGCACTTCCAATAACCGATCGTACGCTTCGTGGTTCAATAGTTTCGCTAGAATACATTCTTTAAACTGGAGTATTATATCAAATTTTAAAATCTAATGAAAAAGTTCTTTTGCAAGGAAGAAAAATATGTAACAACGTACAAATTGTATTTTATATATATATCAATTATCAATGCTAGATCAGATGATAATGATAATGGAAAACCGTAATGATGCGGCAAATGTGACGAAATGTCATACTTGGCCAATCAAAATTGCAGAATCAAAGAAGCCGTAAAAAAGCTGCAAACTCGGAAAAGGTGAATGTTAAATGCAATATCGATATAGATTTGTCGCACAGATCAGGGGATAAATTCTTTACCGTTAACTATGATTATATTACGACAGGGTGAAACCCGCGCAGTGAATTAGTAAAATCCGCTATGTAGATCACATGAGGGTGAAATTCGCTTTTGCATAATAAAAAACATAGCTAAGCGCGGATTTCACCCTTAACGTGATCTACGTAGCGGATTTACTAATTTACAACGCGGGTTTCGCCCAGTCCTATTTATATGGAATGATGAATGCGAATGACTGAAAATTGATTTTATAAAAACTTAGAAAATATATCATCTTTTATAAATATTATACAGTACACCCTCTCAAATCCGATAGGTATGGTGGACCGCTTTTGTATTGGTTTTGAGAGGTTATTGGGTTTAAGATACTAATGACTTACTGGTCACATGATTATAATAAATATAATTGGCTAGATTATATTTATTATATATCTACTTGGTCACACAAAACTCGATTTGAGCCAATCAAATTGATTTATAATACCTGACAAAACCTGATACCTTATCAATCAGGGAATATGTCACACAGACTGATTTTATATAGTAACATTACACAAAATTTTGCAACTTACTTTTCGTTTGTTATAAGAGTATTTACAAAAGCTTTCTAGATATTCGATCTTTTATATTAATAAAACTTATTCTACAAGATTTGTTATATTTATATATGCTATTTTATTTTTATTTTTATTTTGCTTTTTGATATATGGGGTTGAGTCAATAGAAATCAAGCAAATTTTTTCTAAGTAAATTTTTTTTAAACTTTAAACAACAATA